TAATATATGGGGAATGTCTGCAGAGCCTTCCTGAAGAGTAACTTGGCACCCTGTTGGTTTAAGAAAAGGTTGTTTTTAATGTCATATGATCAGAGTTCCTTCTACCACATGTTTTGACATGCTCAGGGCTTTCTTTCAGCAGCTGCTTTTTTGCATTCTTTGTCAAATGTCACAATGGCAGAGTACATATGCACTTAGAATTATTCAATCCACTCTGCAAAGTGTGTTTACTGGCAACATTTCACAGGAAAGGTTTATAAAAGTTTGGAAGAAAGCAATCAAGAGCTGCACTGCACTGCACTGTTCTTGAAATAAAACAACTCGCATTTCTGGAAAATCCTGGTACCATTACATAAGTGTTCGAAATTGACAATAAGTTAATAGAGAATGTAAAAATTTTAGAGAGATCATTACGTTTAAACAGGAAAAGGATACATAAAAACCATCAAATTAATATTACACCACCTGGTGGCAGAATGAGGAAGCCATACATATCTTAGATTGCATCATTTTGAGCTTTCTTTCAGGAATGCACAATTTCATTTTGTGCTTAATTTGGGGAAATAATATAGTTTCTGTTGGTCTATATAATTAAAACCATTGGTGCTTGTGGTTGCCGCCTGAGAAAATGTTAAAAGTTTAAGGGATATAATATTGTGCCAGGAATAATTCAAGTTTAGGGGGAAATTTTGAGCTAAAGCTACTGTATTGTCAACTGCTATTTGTTCTTCTAAGTTTTATTTTTATATAACCAATAGATTATTAAAAAGGAAAGCCGAATTTTTGTTTATCATAATACAGTATTTAGTTATTTTTAGTCTTACAAAAGTAACTTGATACCTATTTATAAATGGCTTGTAACGTTTTTGTAACCAGCTCTTAAATTATTTAATCATACACTTAACTGTCATCTGATTTATTAGCAAACACATGATGTCAATATCTAAGAAACCAGTTTGGTCTAGGTGGATTATGAGAGGAGGGACTTTATCTAATCATTTTGCTAAAGCTTTACAGAATATTTTAATATCCACATTAATTAAGGATATGGGACGATAGCTGGTCGGAATCTTTCCCTGGCTTAAGCAGGAGACTGATGGTGGTAAGAGCAACATTTTTTTGGCACCCATATATTTTGATTTCACATAAATCCCAATTTATGAGAATATTTTTCCTCAGAAAGACATTTTTTTTTCTGTGTGAGCTTTCATTGTGGGTTCTCAGTTAAACTTTATTTTATTTTCTGTATTGTCAAGTCTTATATCTTATTTAATTCTTAGTTTTAGTCTCTCTTGTTACATCTTTTCAGCATTTTTGCTATTATTTATTACTTGGTCTAGTTTTAGTTTTTTATCCTTTCTCTTGTCCTTAGGTTGTTTTCTATGGCTTCAGTTATCTCCAGTCCCTCTTCTTATCCTCTAGTTTTCCCATTGGTTATTCCTTATTTTGTAGCCAATAGTTTTATTCCCCTTTAGATGTATTTAAGTTATTTTCTAGTTACAGTCAAGCCATGGTTTCCCTGGTTACTCTTTGTTGCCCCCTAGTGCCCTTTTCCTTTCTTTCCTTTCCCTTTAGCTCCTTTCTGAAGGCTTCTGTCCACACCCACTCCCAATTAACTGATTACTCAACTTCCTTGTTCTGTCTCCTATTTATACTCCTCCTCTGCAGTCCCTCAGTGCTGGATTCTCCTCATTTCTTCTTGTATGTTTCTCCTGAGCATCTCTAATTTTTGATTTCTGAAGTCCCAGCCTGTTATTTGTGGGTTGATGTATATTTGTACCATCCATGTCACCATTAAAACTGCAAAAACTATTCCTATACTCTGCATTTGGGTCCACAACAACATCCACCAACCCTGACAAAATTGTGATATCCCTTTAAAAATAATTGCATTTTTACACTTTAGGGTATGAAACATATAAGCATAAATAGACAAAAAAAAAGTGGCATTCAACAAAATACAGAATTACCTGATATTTAATTTTTTTTATATTAAAAAATATTTTTCCATAAACATGAGAATTGCAATAAAAAGTTCTAATTAATACTTACTAATGATTTTCCAAGGACCCTAAAGAATAAAAAAATATATGTAAGCATTGCATATTATATTGCTGACTGTGATTATCCACTGGGCAATAATACAAAGCAAAAGAGATGTGCTTAGTGGTTTAATGCCTCACAAAGCCTCGTCTTACCCTCACAGTCTAAAAGGTTTCAACCATCGCAATTGCTTTTTTTAATATTCTGATGTCAGTTTATTTCCTGTTCCTCCCTTCCTGCCCTGTTCTTTCTCCATCAGCCATAAGTACTAAGCAATCCCACTGACCTGTGTTTCTGCATTTAGCCGATCGCCTGGCCCTGCTCTTTCTAAGCCCTCAGATTACCTTAATTTGTGTCTAGGTTCTTGTGCTAGCCTCATGTTTTCATGCCCGTTTACAAACCTTACTGGTTTTTGTAAGCCAAATGCCCATGTAGCTTTCTCCATTTTAGTCCAGATGTTCAACAGTATAACACACAGGCATAAGCTGGCTGTACAAAATAAGTCTAACAATGGTCTTTTGGGAAATTGTAGACCACAAATCTTAAGCTCCATTTACTGAAGGGCTGGGGGCCTGCCACTGTTACAGTAGATGATATTTTAGCTAAACACACACGTATCACATAGCTAAGTCCTTAGCAGGACTTTGAAGAGCTAGGCTACATGAGGTGAAACAGTAATTCAGTCCACTGTCTCAGGTTTGCTGGACCTGGGACACATTCAAACGGCACATCAAGTCCTGGAATTTGACACCTCTGAAACAGGCTGTAAACATCAGCTAGCAAACAGTTATTTTTATGGGGTATACTCTAATTTTTGGCAAGAATTTTAATATATTCAAATGACTTTGTTGGATTTAAAGGGTACAAATTTATTCTGGATAGGATAAATTAATTGAGAGAATGCAGATAATTTACAAAATCTACAAAATCACTACCTTTAGCTTTATGCAGATGTCCTGCTTATAAACTGCCTAATATGAAATTTGGACTATATAATTACAGACTAGAGGCTGAGAACACTGGGTGCTGTGCAGGGTGGTTGACAGCAAAGGCTGGCATATCTGAATCTAACCTCATCTTCATTTGGGTCAAAGGTTACAAGGTACATTTTTCTCTGAGAGTTTGAGAGAACCCTCAAGACTGTGTTATATTCATTTGTTTGTGTCTTCTCAAATATGCACCATTATTAGTCCCGACCTTGATCTTACAGTTAAATAATGCCTTTTAAATTCCCTCACCAAAATGAATCACAATTGAGCAGTTCTTTTTGCATTGAAAAAGTATAAAATGAATATTAATGTGAACAAAGTTTGGATTGCAGCACTGTGACCTTGTGGAAAGCTTTTGGGTATGAATCCCAATCAGACTAGTTCCTCAATAAAACCTTAATATGTTATTAAGCCATAAATATTTTTAAAAGATTATGAAAAAGATGTTTGTATAATCAGTTTAAGATAATGACAAATGTTTTTAAACATGTAATTTATAAAAATAATATAAAGTAATAATTAATACCCAAGTTTGCTCCATCCTACCATGAGATGTCCTAATTTTCTTTTAAAATAATTTCTCTGAAAGCATTCTTATAAAGCGGAGGTCTTCAACAGGGGGAAGCTAGCCACTGTTATGCTGCGTTCACACCTAATGTGCCAAGTTGTATTCGCGTGCTGCTTCATTTTTGATGCTTGTACAAGTTTAGTTCTGATGCGCAGCTGAAGCATCTTTGCTAGGGTGGCCAGCAAAGGAGGACACTTTTTTCGTGGGGGGAAGTGTCAGATGCTGGGCCACTTACTGGACTGGACCTCAGCAGAGAGCCATGAGCCGCCCGTCCTCAGCTGGAGGAGGGGGGCTGGGGACCGGTAAGGTAGGCGGGGGCAAAGTACAGGGACCAGGTGTCCAGGGTACGATGGAGGTTCGGTCGATCCATCTCCCGCTGGCTCCCTGTTTTGACTACGTTCTGCACTGTAGTCGACCAAAATCCCGGCTGCTGCTCTGGCTGCGCGTTGGAATAGGGGGTCTGATGCGCGTGCGGCGGAACTACCCTATTCTTTCTTTGCCTGTAACAATAGCAGCTATATTTGCTGTGATGAGTGGGTAAAAAGTAGTTTGAATCTATTTTGAAGTGAGAAAGTCCACCTAAAAACATCATCACTGCAGTCAGTTCATGCAGTGTCTGTCTACTGTCGTTTCGACAGACAAAGGGACAGTCATGCATCCACCCCCCACAACACCACCCAACAGATCACCTCCACCCCCTCCTCCTCAGTGACAACTCTTTCCATAAA